TATATATATATGTATATGTGTGTATATATATATATGTATATGTGTGTATATATATATATGTATATGTGTGTATATATATGTATATGTGTGTGTATATATATATATGTGTGTATATATATATATGTGTGTATATATATATATGTGTGTGTATATATATATATATATATGTGTGTATATATATATATGTGTGTATATATATATATGTGTGTATATACAGTATACTAACACTAACCACATCTTTTCTCCTCTTTCAAACTCATCCATCCTACTCCTTTCCATTCAGCTCTGGATGCACAGCAATCTTATTATAGTGCATGCACACTGTTATAGTTTAATCGTCTGAATACAAAAATATTAGCTATCAACACAAGGGCCTTGTTATAATTTTTTTATGCAGAGGGAAATCTAATTTGTTCAAAACAGGAGTTTAAGTTATACTCCCTACGATTTTCATCATTCTCCGTATCTTATGACAGTTGCTCTATCTTTTAAAGTCCCGTGATGTTTTCTATGGCCGGGTTTAAAACAATCGATTTTCTGATTCAAATCGATCTTCTTTTGAATGATCTGATAACGATTCATAAAATCCAGATATCGTTATTTTAATACATGTCTTTTCCCATGGATGAGTAAAGCTTTAACCCGTTTAGTCTCACGTGGCAAGTCTTTGATTTTTCGCGCAAACGGGATCTGGCTACGTGAGACTAGTGAAACATACAGAGAGCTACTCCCTTGAAGGCACCGCCAAGCCAAAACACAGATGTCTGGTTGCATTTCGGATTTAAAAGCTATGAAGAGCTGGACAGCAGCAAAAACTGTATGTACGATATGGAAAGTTGAGGTAAAATCTGGTGGAAATACCAGAAATCTCCGAACATTAACATTAAAGTTGTTATGATGAACTTTTAACTGGTTATGAAACAATCTCAAATTAATACTGATGTCCCTATATTGCCTACATCAGTAAACGAGACCATCAGAGAGAAGATGGTCTATTTAGATATAGTTATTTTCTTAATGCTTGTCATCTGTGCCACCGGGTCAGTTTCCGCACAATCTATGAAATGCAGGTTCACCACAAACTCCTCCAGCGGAGGTCTCTGTTGGACTGGTCTCCAACAGAGACCAGTCCACATGGACTGCCAAAATCAACACAAAATGAAAGGTCCTTGTAGTAAAGTTAAGAAAACATTTGTATTTATGTTAATGCACAGTTTAGGGGGTTAATCGTACAATTTACAGCATTACTTTTGTGAGAATCTTGTTCATTTCCAAGCGAAATTGATATTGTAACTAAAATATTCCTAATCGAATCGGAAATTTAATCAATTCGGGAAATCAGGGGTAATACCCAGGCAGCGCTAATGTTTACCAGAGACCTATGCTCAAATAAAATCTTAAATTTAACATGAAACTGTTACAGATTTACTCTCTGAACGGGGCTGACAAGAGACTAGTTTCTTTTGGGACTCTCATTCCACACCTCACTCTCTTTCATGTTTTCAGACATGGCTACCAGAAACAGGTCTTTGTGTCATTTGTTATTCTGTTCTTTTTGCATTTTACAGCACTGATAGGCAGTATCTCTCATACTATAATTAAATGTTTAAGCTGCTAAGTTTCTTTACTGTTGTGTGTTTTGTCAGGGTGCCGAGGCCATGGTGTTGGAGAGTGTGATGTTTGCCATTTTGGCAGAGAGGGAGCTGGGACCTAAACTCTACGGTATTTTCCCTCAGGGTCGACTGGAGCAGTATGTCCCTGTAAGTCACCACATTGTTGTTCATATGCACATCCCTTTGTATGTTTACTTGTAGTGCTGGGCGGTATACCGGTTCAACCGGTAATAAAAATTCAAAAAAAGGAAAATGTGACCAAAGCACTAAGTATCGAAGTAGTACTTGAAATCTAGCATTGAATGTCTGATCACATTTGTAATCTTACTTACAGGATTCTTTAATCAGATACTTCCTGAGTTAATTGACGAAATGTTGCCAATTATAGACTTTACCGGGCAAAGTTCTCGTATGACTGCCTGTGTTTCGTTTTTAACGATTGAGATTCTTCTTGAGGATTTATTTGTTAAATTTAAAAATGAAAGGTATAGAAAGTTATCACAAAAACTTTTAGCATCAAAATTCATACCCCTTTGTGCTAATGTATTATAGAAATGAAAATAATAACCAGTCCTAGATATTTTGCCCCTTTTTATATATGATCTGAATGTAAGTTGAGAGGACTAGTGACAACATGTTGATCTTTCATATAAAAAGTAGAGTTGTTCTGATATCGATACTGTATCAGCACAAGTCTATGCATCGATCCAATGTAAATATTATTATGGCCAAGGTCAATTATAATGTAAATCATGTGTTGAAATTTGTAAAATTTAGGAACTTTAATAAATACAGTCGTTAAAGGGAGATGTTTTCACAGCAATATAAAATAGCTATTAGAGAGGGAAGTATGACCCGTTTGTTTTTTCAACACCCCGTTATCGGATCGGTACTAGGTATTGACTGATATGCAAGTTCTGGTATTGGAATTGGAACGCGAAAAATGGGTATCGGAACATCTCCAATGAAAAGAGGGTACATTTTAGGGCTGGGGCAATACGTCGACTTCATCAATTACAAAAATATGTTGATTTGCATAACAAGCGTTGGCACGTTGCAAAAGTGGCTGCGCCCGGTCAAAACCTCTTACCAAATCCTCCAAAATGTGGAAGTATTTTAGACAGAGATCCAACAATGTGGTGCCTGCAAACTCTGTGGAAATTGGAAATGGCTTCCCACAGCAGTACAACTGCTATGCACATACCTGAGGCAAAAGCATCCAAGCATGATGTATTTGGGTTATCAACACGTATAACTTGTTTCTGTTAGTGGTAGCTAACTAAAATTAATTTACTAAAATAATTATTTAAAGCCCCCTTATGTTAAATTTATTTCTGCACGGTGGCTGTTATGGTAACAAAATGTTACACCATGTGTCGCCTAATATTCGCCCGTACAGTATATATACAGTATATTTTCTGTTTACTTTGACGACCGGGTATCTCACTCGAAAGTGGCTTTAACTGATGTTGCAGACTGTTGTTCCACACTGATCGAAAAACACATTTGATTATCTGAACTGCTTATTACTCCAGTGGTGAAATGAATCCATGAAACCATTTTAAGTTTTAATTCAAGTACTTAAGTAAAAATACTCATTGTGCAGTTCAGGGAAAGGGTTGCTGTGACATACAGTGATTAAATTAATGTGTCACTGCAATTCTTTCGAATTTGAGGTCCAGTACTTTACTGATCATGTGACTAATAGTCTATTGTCTTGTTACTGTTGTTTGATTTTAAGAGAAGATGATTGGATAAAATATTGAAATGCTTATCAAACTAGTTTGTGATATATTCTTTGGAAAATTAATTGTTATATTAATGGGGAATTTAAAAAATATATATCTTGGAATAATTAATAATTTAGTCGTTAAATTAATCAACTAATTAAAAAATGAATCGTTAGATAATTGTTAGGTGCAGCCCTAGTTCACCTGCAGGTTGGCAGTTATGTGTTGTGTTAAGATTTGAACTAGGCATCATTAGGTAGAATGAATGATACAACACGGTTGGTTTGTGTGTGGTGTACTGTTCAATGATGTATCACCGATCAATGTTCAGAGAGAATTAATAAACCATAAAACATCTGCTCTTCAGCAGTTAAACAGTACAGTGTTACACAATTCATTCTGCTTTTGGAAGAAAATCATTTTGACCTAAGTTGACATCATGTAGCCATCGTTCAACTGTATAGACCAGCGGCAAGTTACTTAAATAGATTCATGTAATCTTGTTTGAAGAAGGATGTGCTGCAAGAAAGTGATAGCCCTTGATACAATTATACAAAAGTAGTTTCAGAAAAAAAACTAGAAAGGTGTACTCAGTAGAGTGTAGATCACCGCCAGGTGTTTCTGCTACAACCACTGCTGTAATGTTTGATTGAATGAATACAACCCACAACTGACTAACCTCCCTCTGGACACTAATGTTAGGCATCGTAAAACACACGTCATTCAAACTCAAAAACAAACGCTGATGTATGCAGGCTGTAACTATAAGACACGTCATACAATCTTGTCAAAAACGAAATAAAGTGGCTGAGTTGCGGTGATTTACTCAGCAGTGTGTGTACTGGTAGTTCCGTTAGCCAAACACTGTCCAAATCACTACAATTGAGAAAACTGTTTTCCCGTCACTTTTCCGAGTCTCTAGCCACAGAGTAGTGGCTTGGGGTCGGACATGCACCAGGCTGTGTTAAGCCGGTTTAGAGTGAGTGATAGATGAGCAGGAAGTCAATGGCAGTATAAAACGGGCAATAAAACGTATTTTGAGAAAGTGTGAGTCATCACAACCACAAGAGGTTCTTGAGCATGCAGCCATAACAGGCCATCCAAAATATTATGCAATTTTCTGCAGCAGAATTCGAGATTAGTCATGGACAGACACAGAGGTGTTCACTCACTGACACACACGCGCACGCGCACACACACACACACACTCACACATGTGAATCTGTGGGTTTTGTTGCATCTTAAATGTTTTATGATTTGGGCTAATAGTTTTACAAAAAAATTGTGCGTTATGCAACTTAAAAACAGTCACCATTGTATGTGGTATCGCTTACTGTATGAATAAGCCATTTATGTTATTCTGCTAACAGAGTCGTAAACTGGACACATGTGAGTTAAGCGACCCCAGCATCTCAGCGGAGGTTGCAGAGAAGATGGCCAAGTTTCATGCGATGAGGATGCCCTTCAACAAGGAACCCAAGTGGCTGTTTGGAACTATGGACAAGTAAGTCATTTGAGTCTTGTCGAGCACCGACTTACCCAGCCCGACTTGTCCTGTCCTGCCCTGCCCCATCTTGAGTCCTGTCTCGTCTATATTTAGTGAAATGCCATTCTCCACGTAAGTCCACATGAAAAACGATTTCAAATGAGAGACTGGGCAGATTTGAAACTGGTTCAGAGTCAGTAACTGGAGGTTTTGTATCCTAGGATAGCAAGTTGCATCACTTATCAACAGTTGTCTTATCATAATGTACTTCTGTTTTAATTACTTTCAATTTTATTTGTTGGGTGTTTGCTAGCTTTACATTGCACAATATTTCTCAGCGTGTGGGGATAAAGTCCATTGTCTAGTTCTACTGATTTGCTGTGAAGATATCTACTGGTTTATCATTTCCCAGATTATGTATTACAAATATTACTAAGTTGTCCCGCCGATGACCCATTTTGTAAATCTCCATGACACGAAAGAGTGAGGATTGAGAAATCAGAAACATAATATGTAGTATTAGCTTATGTGGAATTCTACTGGAATTTGTTGGTGATTTTCATCGGCAGAACTCGGCGATTCGATCCCCGGCTCCGCTCGTCCATTTCGATGTGTCCTTGTGCCCAAATTGCTCCTGTAGCTGTGCCTACGGTGTATTAATGTTGTTAGATAGTCCTTATGGGCAGGTGGCACCTTGCATGGTTGCCCTGTCATCAGTGTATGACTGGGTGAATGATGTCAAGTAGTGTTAAAGAGCTTTGAGTGGTCGGAAGACTAGAAAAGAACTATACAAGTACAGTCCATTTACAAAAGATAAAAGCAGGATTGCCTATAATGTGGACTGTAATATTGTGTCTAGTGGTAGCATTGATTTATATTTTGTTTTAAACTCGTCAGAGAATTTGAAAAAGAAGCAAACCTTTGCAGCCACAGCCAAATCTGACCGGGATTGGGTTTGTGGGTGCGTTAGATTCCTCATCAGATTGAAGTCCTTTATCTCTATCTGATAATTTCGCCTTGGAAGTTTAGTAGAATAACATCAAGGTGACCCAGGCTGAGTACCAGCATTGAGCAATGTTTGATATAAATATCCCAAAAAACACACATTTCAAAAAGTTGTCATAGTTGCATAGCTACAAATGCTTGTTACAGAACAATCCACCCTAAACTCTTGTCAGCGGGTTTATCTCAGATGCTCAACAAATCAATTTAGTGACAATTACAGCTCAAATAATGGTAAATGATGGAATATAGATAGCAGTTTAAATAGAGAAGAGTCATACATCTGGAAAACTGACTCATTAATATCTACCTGAAATTTGCCAACCTTAGCTAACATTAGCCACCATGAGCTACTGGTCATAGTAGACCAAGCTGGGTTGTAGCAGGGAAACCCTTTGATGTATTCAAATGAGAGATGGCTTGTTTGTGTCAACTCAGTGTTTTATTTGTCAGAAGAATGTTTTTTCCTGCCCCAAACAGCCTTTGTACCAACTAACAGTTAGCAGTGTAAGCTAGCAACGTACACTACAACCGTGTGTCTGTGCTATGTCCATGCTGCTGTTTAGCCTCTGACTGATTCAGAACTCAAGAGAAACAGGTCGTTCTGCTTTTTTCCTCCAGTTTCTGTCCTTTTTTTCTTGTATGTTCATGAAAATGAGTCGTACAACCTCAGGAGAAGTACTGACAATCATATGCATCACACTATTTGTCCTAACCTTGTGATAGGAGTTCCTGAGCGCCTGTTGTCCCTGAGATTACTTTTGTGAATGACTCCTCATCATGTCTTAGACATCATGGTAGAGTTAGCAGGGACTGCTTTTATACAAATCCCTCCTCTAGCTAGTTGGACAATATTTTTTATTATCATAAAAATAGAAGTGATGTGATAATAGTAGTTAAGGATGATTAAACTGAAGCTACTGCTTTTAATGTTGGCACATTTGTGTTAATCCACACCTCAGGCAACCTACTGCATGCCCTGGTCATGGCTTGTTGCCAGTGGATGGGGCGATACTGCCCCTGACTTAATGTTTTTCTTAATGCATTTTTACGAATGTTATTGTTTTGTAATCTATGTAATTTGCCCTTTTATTTATGTATTCTCTTATGGTCTTTTCTTTCATTTCGAAGGGCTCAGGCACACGAACACACACTCACTCCGAAATTACACTGTTCTCCCATACACTGACTATATGTTAGCTGGCCTGTATCTCACTGTTCTTGTCGTCCTCTTGTTGTTATGTTTATGTACTGTCTTTTGTCTTGCAATAAAAGAAAAAAAAGAATAGTTTGAAACATGCTTTGAAAATTTAGAGTTATTGACGTAATGAGATTACAGATCTCAGTCATATTTCTGACCTTCTGACACGTCCCGTTTCTCTTTTCTGTACTTGCACACACACACTCATCACAAACGCAGAACTACTGCTATTACTGGTACTAATTCTATAACTGCTGGCAATCCTCCTACTTCATTTCTACTACAACTGCTACTATTGGCACTACTACTGCTGCCATTATCTCTTCAATAATTCCTATTTGTAAAATACGATTATTTAATTAAACTAAATTAGTTTTGCTTTCACAATCAGTATTTAATACATTAGTAGAATAAATACTTGATTGTATTTGTAGAAGAAGTTATCATAACCTCAGATTCTCATTGATTGTCAAAGATGTGACCTCATGCTTATCAGTATGTATTCAGAGAACACTCCGACTTTCACATGATCCTGACTTCACTGTGTGTCACTTGGCTTTATCAGATAAGGCACAGATGTTTTTGAGGGAAAGGGTTAATGTGTGTGTAACGCTCTCAACAGGTATCTGAGCCAAGTCATGAGGCTGAACTTCACCAGAGAGTCACACCTGCGCCGCTTCAACCGCCTGCTCGGCTACAACCTGCCAAAGGAGATGGATATGCTCAAGTATGTTCGCGCACATAAACACACAGTCGTGTGTCCATCACTTAGAGACACATTACATGGACTTACATTCATTTCTTGGAGACTGACCTTGACCCCTAACCATAACCACTACATGGCTAATCCTAACCCTAACTTTAAAGTTTTTAAATGAAAAAAATTGAAATGATGTATGGTATGGGAATGTGCATTCCTAAAAGGAAGGCAAGTCCCCAGCAATTTGACTGTAGCCCCTTTTACACAGAGATTCCGCAATGCTGACATAAAAAAAGATCCGCCATTACGCTTGCTTTGCTTTTACACACTGAATCAAACAAAGGTGACATGATGTCGGCCCATTTCGTGATATCAGATACCACACCGTCATCACGGGAGCAAAAGCGGCGTGAGGTTTACCACAGCGGCATTGGTGTCTATTGTGTCGTATAACTTGCGTCCCGGTTAGTGACTTGCATCCTAAACAGTAATGGCTGGTGAACTGGGTGTTGAGGTGCTTTTTGGAGGGTAAGAAGCTCCGAACCTGGTTGTCTCTGCAATTTGCTGCCATTCTTGGTTGTTATTGGTTAGGTGCTACCTGCTGCTCGCTGCCAAAAACTGCAGTTCTGCAAATGGCCACTTGAGGCTGGCTACAAAAGCAAGTCAATTCTTATAGATCCCCATGTTAAAATGCCTAATTTTAAACATGTTTACAGCCTGGTACATTAAAACGTTATGGCCACTATAGTTTTTTCTTCGCTCATGACAATTGTACCGTGGGGAATTCTCCTGTTTAAATGATATCAAAGCTTGAAGTTAGTATTATTGTGGGCGTGGCCTCTTCTAGTAACAGGTGGGCGTCGTCTCCGGCCGCTAGCTGGCTGGTCTGCGGCGTCACCCGGGCCATGCCGGCTGTCCTTTTTCACACAGACGACTGCTTAGCTCCGTGACATTCTGCAACAGCGAGGCGGAATAACCGCAATAACAGTCCCGCTTTGAACAGGCTGTGTTAAAGGGGCTGGTGTAAACAGATTAATGTCGTCTCCCCCCCACAAACACACACACACACACACACCAGTATAGATTTTAGAGTGGATAACAAATTACACATGCAGGAAAGTTTCCAAACATGGTGTTATTTAACGGAATTTATAGATTGAGTAGGTCCACATGCCACAGTGAAACTTTCACAACCTGGACTTTGAAAGGAAGAAAAAAGCATTTGGACAAGCAGAGCACAGTTTCCATGAGTTCCTACCAAGGTGATTTGCAAATGTTTTAATGACTTAATCAATGAAGTGAAACACAGAGATGGAATCTCCAGAATATGTTGTCAGTATGAAGATGCACACAGCTATCAGAAGCTCTTTAAACCCTGCTGATTGATCATCCTCTGACTTCTGACCTTTTTGTGTATGTTCAGGTCTCTTCTGGAGTCCACGCATTCGCCTGTAGTGTTCTGCCACAACGACTGTCAAGAAGGTAAAACATATGGACGACGATGGCCCCTATCTGCTGTACATTAGCTTATTTCTTTCATGAAAAAATAACTTTATGCATGCGTTGCTTTCAGGAAACGTCCTGCTGCTGAAGGGCCGCCAGAGCTCAGACAAACAGAAGCTTATGCTAATTGACTTTGAGTACAGCAGCTACAATTACAGGTAAGATGGCAACTGCTGTAACACAGATTTCAATGAGTTGATCCTACTCACACATTTTGTCTGTTTATTCGCGTATTGATATATCTTCTTTATCTGTGCCATAGAGCTCAGTTTTTGCTCAAAAACTATAAAAAAAACATATCAATGAGCCACACTGGGTGACATGTTCCTTCATTACAGGGAACATGGGCACTGTAGTTCATTTAGAGTCGATCCCAAATACAGCGTTCTCCTGCTGGTAGTTCTCATTAGTGCTCAGAAGTATTAAATGTGTATTAATCCGCAGCTGTACTCCAGTTTGAGTAATGTTTACTAAAAACTACAATGCCAAGCTTTTGTGGTAAATTACATAGCATTAAAAAAAAAAAAAAAAATATATATATATATATATATATATATATATATATATATATATATATATATATATATACACACACA